GAACTGTCGTGTCATTGACCATAAATCAAAAACCACAACGACCCGCACGGTTACGTCAATTACGAATATAATTATACAGCACGGGGCGCATAATTCCTCGAATCGAGTCTGTTACATCTTCGACGGTTCCGGTGACACCAACTGATATCACTGGCATACAAAACACCCGAACGTAACGGTAACTTTAAAAAACGTCGTGTCTGGCTATCCTTTGTTCGCGAAAAACATTCTAGATCATTCTCAATGATAGTTTTACCCAACGTAATGATAATTTAAATCAATTTATACAGCAATCTATGTTAAGTTACGCACATGGCGTAATGTTTAGAATAATTCGTAGATAAAGACATAATGAATTATTAATTCTATCGAATTGAGATTAATCGTGCTTAAACTGTTCCAACTTCAGTCCTGCCCTGAAGAAACAAACTACGTTGATGCAAACGTGCAAGAACTACTGTCAATCACTGTCAACTACTGTGAAAGCTTAAAATCTAAAATTTAGAAACGCCTTGTCCTATATTATATGACCGGATTTTCGTCCCATCACGAATTACACCACGTTTCGTCGCGAAACTTCTCGGGATTCGTGTTAAAAATCATGAGAAATCATTCAAGATTTTCCGCTTACGCTATTCCGTATTAGAAATCATGAGAAACTCGCCGTGAATGCAAGCGATCGGATTAATCATACAAACTGTAACGCTGCTATTTTCACCCCGTTCATCGCCTGATCCGGCATTCGTGTCTCCAGCTATCCTTGGAGGAGACTCTCGCATACCTCGAACAACGTGTTTCCAAGTATACCGAAGTAAGCCTTCGACGTCGAATTTTTTGCCAGGGGAAAGGCTGATTAAATTAACAAGGAACAAAGACGAATTACATATATCGTTGTAAACGAAGTAAATATGCATATACGCGTGGAGTAACATCGACGAGGAGATTCAGGGCAAGGTAATGAGAGAACTTCCAGAAGGAGGAGGACGACCGGTTGTCCTGCTCGAATCGCTTGACTTAAGGAGATCAACGAGCCGAATATTAATCAACAAGAGGCGCGGCACCTGCATCCTTGGCACGTTAAGGCACGTAATACCGTCTACTACCGCAATAAACCACTCTGCACACCATGCAGTCTTACCGTTATCCGGAAGGTGTTTGTGCATTAGCCATCCGGTACGATACTCCCTGCTTCCTCCTCCAACTTCGTATTCGGATGGCCCTGCCGCATTTAGGCTTGTCACGTTAAAACGGCAGTTCATCAAAGTTCATAAAAGTCCTCTCTCGTGACGAAACGTCTACAAATCATTTCGAACGTTACCATCAACGGTAAACGTAAATGCCACCGTTGCTAAGGTGTCATATACGCGACAAAAAAATAACAAATACGAGTAGAGTTTCAGCAGAATGTTGAAGTTCATTAATCGAATCATGAGCACAAAAAGGAATATTAATATGTAACAAAGAAAAAACATTTTGATCTATTTAGTCCTTTATTAAAATCATCAAACGGAAAAACAATTAGTGCGTGAAGTGCATGACGTTAATTAAAGGATGTACAACATTTCTGATATTGTAAATTTAAATCAGAATAGATCCCATCGATTTGAATATTATTCTTAGTGCTACTTTAAATGTTAATGAACAAATCGTGAATATGAATTTTATTTATTTAATTCAAACAATAGAGTGTTTTTCAGAAAGCACAGAAACGATAATATAATAATTGCCGGTATATCATATGCAAATGAAGAAAAAGATCTGGAAATATGTAAATTAATTAAAGAAATGTAAGTCGTGACGCATCTCCTTTTGAAAGATACGTATGCTTGAAAATCAATAAATGATTGCTTAAATCATAGCTTTTGCATCATATTATAAAAACGTTTATAAGAAATTAATGGATTCTCTGAAAAGAAGCTACATTTTACGTTCATTTGAATATCGAGCCATATAAGATAATGATACCATACGGTTTCCAATATTAACTCGCATGCAAATTACTATCAAATTGGAAATACGATATAAAATAATATGTTAAATAACATTTCAGATTGTGGTATCTCTTCCTTATTAATAATAGTTTAATTATTTATAAAAATGTATATTCCTTGTTAGGCGTATAAATTATTCTATTATAGTCGCGTATTTTTATATCCAAGTCAACGTATAACAAACTTTTATCTCAATCTTTGTAAGCTTTCGTCGGAAACACGACCAATAAGAAAAGTGTAACAGGCCATGTACTTAACGGGCAATTTCCTTATGGCGACGAACCGCAAAAATGTTATTTCTCGTCGTAACAGCTACACGCGTAAACGTGAAACTCCGTTCGCCGCATCGGCGTGACTGCGAATTAATTAATAAGACTGTAACCTTACAGTTTTGATTTCCATCCACTTTCATGGTCGTAACTGATCCACATGACCACGGCCTTGGTTATGACCTTCCATAACAAAACCTGGACAATTTTATCATAAAGAATATTTTGAACGCAATTTCAATCGCTATATCGACTATCTTGCTTAACAAATCCTAACAATGTGTGTGGTCAGAAAATATTTCATTAATACATTTCATTAATAAAAAAAGTTTCTACCTGAAATTATATTTGGAAACGAATACGATATTCGTAAGGTTTCGTCTTCGTTTTACTTCCAATTACTCCAAGGTCAATCAATCTACGATATCACGATAAACTTATTTATTCCTCTTTGGACTGTTCGATCATGGACATGAACGTAAATACCAAGCTGGGCAATGCGATTTATTCGAGAAACTGGATTAAGCCGAGCGAGAAAGTTCCGTTGTTGTCGAAAGCGTCCGGCATTAACATGCGCCTGTCTGCCTTGATTGAAACCGTGTCCTCGGAAATACATTGAATTAGAATAGCTCTGCATTTATTCGATTACTGATTTTTTTCTAGAGCAATGTGAAATTTCGAAAATTCCATGCGACGAAGACGCGAGCTTCTGTCGGGCTAAGAAATTTGTGTGATTTAATTTTTTACTTATTCTTAGAAATTTTCAAATCTAGCATAATATAGAAAACATAAAAATTTTGAAGAAAATATTTGTCATCAAAAGCATGTGATACGAATAGCTTATGAAGATATTATAGTAGAAGCTTTCGTAATTAACCCAAAATAATAATTAATTATAATATTTGGATTATTAATTATAATATTAAACTAATATCGATATGTCTCTTTGAGAAAAATTCAGAGATTGTTTAGCGATCGTTTAGTGATCGATTTCTTTCAAAATATCTACGCTCTCACCCGATCACAACCAAGCTTCACCGCAAAGTGTAAGAGAAAAGTGATGAAACAATTGCAAAATTCTTGGGACTTTCTTATAGAAGAAACGCAACAGTGCCAGAAATGCGAATGGGTGATGTAAGGAAATAAATGTCAATGGTTGCTCGATTCAGCTGTATATGAAACCTAACTCCAACCGAACTCGTAGAATTTTCACGAATTAGATAATTCCAGTTATCGATAAACACTATATATCGATAATATGTATTCGTACAATCAGTCAACACCCGAAACCCTTAAAAAGTTCTATCATTTTGCTGAAATGTTTCATTTATCTACCTTTCTACCTATACTTCCATCTGCTCTCCTAGTATATAACTGAGAATTTAATTTTGCTACGATATTCGAATATTTACATTTCAATCCTGCGTTCATTTTAATAAACTAAAAGAACGTTGTAATGTCTAAATTGGAACTGCCATTGGAATTAACAATGTTTTAGAAAGATATTTAACATGAAACTGATCGTGCATATCGATACGATCTTTTCTCATATTTAAAACCTTAGAGAAAATGTTAACTAGCCTGTTTCCAGAAGCTCCAAACCTTTAAGCTAACGACCAACTAAACTGGCTGCTATGGAATAACCTCTGTCGGAATGTCGATCAGGGTGGCGTATGGGAGCTGGGTGTCACGGTGAGTCACGTTGCTCGTGTTCGACCTTCGCCCCCTTCCAGCCTTCTCCGTTATTTTATATCGAATAGTCGCCTCAGCCTTACGATTATTATTATTATAATCACGTTGCGATCGGTCAGTATTCTGCATATTGTACGACCGCACCAGTACGCTGACTGTGTACGAAAACAGTCGCACCTGCAGGAGTTCGACGAATTTCGATGGCTAGATACGCGCCTTATACGTGCGAACAAATCGATGTAATAACAATAGACGGAATAGTAACTGTTTAGAATCAATCAGCGGATAATATTTATCGACGATCGCATGTTATACAGAATTGGATGTAATATTTTAATGGAATATGCTATTCCGCTAGCGAATCCTGTCATTTGTGTGATATAATAATCGCAGAATTATTTCGAGAGTTGATATTTTAAGAATAGAATGTCTTAGCCCAAATTCTTTGGAGATATTTTCCTGTATTCTCTATTATAAAGTAGAATTTCTTACGATCGAATTAAAGTAATCAGTTGGTAGAAAATTTTTGGATGCTCGTCGACTGATGGAACAAAGCGAACCTTCACGATTTTTATCGCCAAATGAATTTTGAGGTGGTTCGCGTGAAAACCAGCCTGGATCGAAACTGGTCCCGCGAGTATTCAAACAACGGCCAAGAACAAAAGTCGAAAAATAAGGTAAAGCAGTAGAAAAAGAACGGATTCGTAGAGGTACGGATGATATTGGGGATAAAAAATTATTTTAGCATTTAAGGCAGTAGGATGGGGCAAAACGGATGAGCACTGGGGAGAAGGGGACGGGGAAGAAAGAACGTGGCAGACGTTATTACCGGGCCTCTGTTAAGTCTTTGGATGGCATTTTCAGTGGAGGAGAATAAAGGAAAAAGGAAAGGGAGATCGGGTTGGCGAAAAAGAGAAAGAGAGGGCGTGAGAGGGAGAGAAGAAACGTGGCGAGGTATAGACGTTACCTCTTCTTGAAGTGACGAGGAGAAGAGAAGGAGGTTCTACAAGGAGGTGGAAGAGGAACAACACGTGACCAATGACTTATATAAAGGTGGAGAACGACAGGGCGCAAACACAGAGTTCTCTCTGCGCGGTGGAGCCTGTGCACGCAAATTGTGATAATAGTTTTTTTTTCCCTCTTAAATAAATAATCAAATTTTGTTACCGCCACTCGGGAGAGAAGAGTAATCCGATCTCTGTACCACGCGGGACACACGCATTCGTAACCATGAGGACGTACTACGTGATAGCTGCCATTCTGATCGCCGGTACGTACCCGAAATAAACGCGAGATACGAGCAGGAGGATATAAGAGGGTGGAGAATAGAGAAAATGGAAATGTTATCGAGGAGAAAGAAACGGGGGAGGAAAGTGTTACTCGAGGACGATCACGATCATTTTATCGGAAGTGGAGGACCTAAGTGTGTGACATATGCCTGTGGATCGGGAAGAGAGTGCACTCTTCTTTCGTCGCGATTGTCACGATAAACACGATACTTGTCGTTTCACGAAACGAATAAACGAAATGGTCGGAAAAGCCTGTGTACGAAATCGTTAATTCAATGTTTTACGAGCATCGTTAACATATTTCTTTGAACCCGGTATCTTGTTAACGTAAATCTTGAAATTTGTACACGATCGGTATATTAACATAGATTTATTCATTTTCGATGAATTTCTCTCGAACAGAAAGTTTATTCCTCGTGTGTTTAATATTGGAATTTTATCGATGCTTGAAAAGTGTTTTATCTGTAATTTCATCTGTAAATTGGAGTACTGTATCCATCTTACCATATTTTTTAACAGAATATCTACCATAAAGAATATAAAGCAGGTCGATTTAATATGCGATTGATAACCAGGAAGAAACCTACTTACAAATCTTTAAATACCCCCAGTAACTCTAATTTCTACGTCTGACCAGTACAAGCTACCAGTACAACCAATATCGCGTATCAAAATATTCCCGTTAACACCGCGTACTAGTAAAATATCTAGAAACTTCTCTGCATTTCCCTTTACTCTATCGCTCTTCGCGTACGATCGTAGATCGGAGAATACCCACTGTACAAACGACGTGCCAACAATTTGAAAATAGTTATCGAAGACGGTTATTATCGACTTTCTCGGTGTTCCAAACGAAACATACCGTTGAAACGAGATCGAAAGGCGTGTTCAATTTCCGTGCAAAGAGAAACCTTCTCGACACGCGTTTCCATTCTTTTTTCCTCCCCTTCCCTGGGTTCCTCTGACTGCAACAGGATAACCTTGGCCCAGATCTTGACCCTTCTTTTTATCATCCACTACCATCGCGATCGAGCACAAAAATTCACTCTTGGGGGCCAAAGAGCTAAAAAGTTTATAAAACGACCAACGTGCATACGTTCTACGGCCAACGATATCGTGAGCGGTTCCGATTACGGGGCTACTTTGTCGGATTCGAGACGCGACTTTTGATAGCCGGATCGGTCCCGAGAAAAATGAAAGTGAACATGCAACGCACACGAGATCGAGAGGGTCGCGAGCTTGTAAGTATAGGCGAAATTACAGAGGACGAAAAGTGTATGCGTGTACGTGAGAGAGAGAGAGAGAGAGAGAGAGAGAGAGAGAGAGAGAGAGAGAGAGAGAGAGAGAGAGAGAGAGAGAGAGAGAGAGAGAGAGAGAGAGAGAGAGAGAGAGAGAGAGAGAGAGAGAGAGAGAGAGAGAGAGAGAGAGAGAGAGAGAGAGAGAGAGAGAGAGAGAGAGAGAGAGAGAGAGAGAGAGAGAGAGAGAGAGAGAGAGAGAGAGAGAGAGAGAGAGAGAGAGAGAGAGAGAGAGAGAGAGAGAGAGAGAGAGAGAGAGAGAGAGAGAGAGAGAGAGAGAGAGAGAGAGAGAGAGAGAGAGAGAGAGAGAGAGAGAGAGAGAGAGAGAGAGAGAGAGAGAGAGAGAGAGAGAGAGAGAGAGAGAGAGAGAGAGAGAGAGAGAGAGAGAGAGAGAGAGAGAGAGAGAGAGAGAGAGAGAGAGAGAGAGAGAGAGAGAGAGAGAGAGAGAGAGAGAGAGAGAGAGAGAGAGAGAGAGAGAGAGAGAGAGAGAGAGAGAGAGAGAGAGAGAGAGAGAGAGAGAGAGAGAGAGAGAGAGAGCACACACATACGAAAGGGGAACGTGTAGAGGAGAATCGAGTGAACGGGATGCTGGGAGGGCCCAGTCACGAGTCGTGTTGGTGTTGCGGCTGCTGCTGGGTCTGGCTCTAGACCCCAAAGTGAAAGCGCCTGGCGAAAGTCACTTTGTGTCCTTACATAAGACGTTTAGGTTATTCAGACATCATATGCCACGAGAAAAGAACAACAGATTATTAGGGGTAATTTCTAGCCTGAGGACAATACGCGACAAAAAGGCGGCATTACCATCGATAATAAATACCTGAAACGGTGTCGACGATCTATACACATTATCGTCTCCCTGCCATGCTTTTCCCTCTTGAAACGCGATTAGAAATGTGAAGGGAGGGGCGCAGGGAAGGTATAGAGCTAGATGAAGGAAGTGGAAGAAGATGCTCGCAACGATGGGGATTAGCGTCTTGCGGTCGACGATCAATTTTATTGTTTAATCTTCTCTCGAAAGCAATATCCAGCAAACGGTAAAATTGAACGCGATTACCACGATCCCTGGCACGATTAAAGCGTTATATCGGGTGTAACCGCAAAACACATTTTTCTCAACGGATCATTCCCGTCTTGAAAACTTTAGCTACGATTAGACGATTTCAACGCAGAAATATCCAATTTAGGATTATTTAAAGGAATAAATAGTTGGTTTATAGTTGTACTATAACCATCGACGCAATTGAAAGTTGACTCCGGTAATTGGCTTGGTATTTCGAATTACAGCGACTGCCTTTAACTTGACTGACATTTGCTCGTTGTTAGTTTTACTACTTGAACAACCTTCTTTACGATTGCTTCAAAAATTAATCGATATTTCTACATTCGCCGCTATATAGGTATAGTAAAACACGACTTTCCTAAACCATTCCTAATGCAAGGTCGAGTAATACAAGGAACGACAAGAATTTCCTTGTTTGTTTCGCTATTACAGCGACATTCCTTGCGACTGCTCTCTATATAAAAAACGAGCGAAATTTTCACATTGATTAGATTATCCTCTCTACTTTTCTCCGATTTCACGTTAATAATAATAATACATTTTTTCAACTGCAGGCACAACCGCCCAAGAATCGTTCAAATGCCCAGACGATTTTGGTTTCTATCCTCATCATATATCCTGCGACAAATATTGGAAATGCGATAACAACGTCGCGGAATTGAAAACTTGCGGCAACGGACTCGCCTTCGACGCAAGCGACAGCAAGTTCCTCACTGAAAATTGCGACTACCTCCACAACGTAGATTGCGGAGACAGGACACAGCTCGAACCAGCGATTAGCACGCCGCATTGTCCTCGCCTCTACGGTATCTTCGCCGACGAAAAGAAATGCGACGTATTCTGGAATTGCTGGAACGGAGAGGCTTCCAGATACCAGTGCAGTCCTGGACTCGCTTACGACCGTGAAGCCAGAGTCTGTATGTGGGCCGATCAAGTACCTGAATGCAAGAACGAAGGTATGTTCCGATACTTCTTTACGTGATCCTACATCGAACACTCCTTTTTTCGTCGTTTAAATTGCCTTTATAAGGATATCTTTCTTGTTGTCAATTTGGTTTGACCCTATTCAGACTTTTTGGTGATTTTGAGTTAACTGAATTCCAGAAAAACACCAAGGAAATCCTTTTTCATGGATTGATATGTTTTTAATCGTCGTATAATTTTCCTGTCCTTCGATTTTAACATCTTCCATAAAGAAACTTTATAAATTATTAGAATCTGTACTCTCTTCGAACTAATACAAATACGTTGCAAGACTTTCACTGAAAATCAATTAACTATCGACGATTCTCGTTTCTCCTTGAAACGATATTATATTATTCGTTGGTTGCGTTGCTCATCGTTCGATACGTGCAGTGATACCTGGCGATTTATTCCCACGCGCATCCTGTATTTCCTTGCGCGGTATCCTCTTAATTCGCGTGGCACGATTCAAAGTCGTAGCCTTATTTCGCCATTCACCGGCTTCTTCCACTTGGCCCTTGGTGGTGTTTCATGGCCTGTACGATCGCGAACCAAGTAGCTATGGCGACGCGACACCTTTCTCTCTTCCATCACATCATACTCTATGCGTTTATCGCGTTACACAGAGGTCGCAGGAGGTTTCACGTGTCCGGCCGCGGGCGAAGTGAGCGGAGCATCCGGCAGCTTCAGCAGACACGCCCATCCTGAGGACTGCAGAAAATATTACATATGTCTGGAAGGTATCGCTAGGGAATACGGTTGCCCGATCGGAACTGTCTTCAAGATCGGCGACGCCGATGGCAGCGGTGCCTGCGAAGACCCCGAAGACGTCCCTGGATGGTAAGTCAATTTTCCCCTTTTATTGTAATTATCTCTTGTATAATTATTTCTTTTATTATAATTAGACTGCGACTGTTTACACATTTCTGAGAGATTTAAAAGAGGTTCACAAATTTACGTGAATGCAGTTAATATACAAAAATATATAAAATATCTCATTTAAATTACTCGATATAATATTTAATAGGTGAAATAAATTCCTACTGAGATTTCATTTCATAAAAATATGAATTTGCATAAATATCCGCAGTCTAATTATAGTGTAGTTCACCGTTTAACGTTAATAACTTCATTTGTTAATCTTTCATCTTTCTAAATCGTTTTAATCGATTAATTTGTTTGGGAATGAAATCGGAAGAACAATCTTTGTTTTTCGATTTTTCAACTCTGTAATTTGATTTAGTTGATATTAAACGGAAGCCAAAAACAAAAGTAGGCAATTTCCATTTTCAATTCTATGATAAATTGCTTGAGTACTTTCCAAATACGTTAGGGACCTTGCGACAAAGTTACAGGAAGGAATTTGTGGTGCTATGAAACACGTTATTGGAATAAGAGAAAATGCATTCCTGAACATAGTATATTCAAATGTCTGCACGAATAGATTGTCATTAACAAAGTTTCCTTCGCTTACAACAACGAAAAAAATGTCCTTGTTTTTACAAGTAGATCGTAAATTTCCTTGTATACTTTTTGTCGCCCCAAGCTTTGAGTAATAGCGTTAAAAAGAGTTAAGAAGGGAGACTGTCACGTAAATTTAAACAGATCAGGAAGCTTTGCGACTAGGTGTTACGTAAAGGCAAATTCTGGATAAACCAGATAGACCCACGGTGATTATAGTCTTTAAAACTTAGCCGCATGGTTAAAAGTTCGTAAGATATTTCACCTTTTTCGAGTGACGTAATTAAACGGATATTCACGGTACACCTTGCTCTCATAACGGGTAGATAGGTTTTGCGTAACAGCCATCCAAATGTTGGTAACATAATATTTATATAATCGTTCTTGGGGACAGGAATAACGTGTGTGAAAGCCATATAATCGAAACGTGTTAAAGGTATAAGTAGATGTTAATTTGCTCGTTGAAAAACAAGTAAACATTAGTGAAGATAGTAAAGGCGACGGTCTTGTATCATTCATGAACATACAAAACATAAGGTACCCAGTAAATACTTTTATGTACTATTTTGTTTGTATTACCTTCTCTTTTAATTACCCCGATGAATACTACGAAACATTTTGAATGAAACGTACGTTTCGATGATGGACGAATATTATCAGGGTAACAATAAATATCGTTAATTAACAACAGTTTCTAACATATGTAATTAATTAATATAATATCTACAATTTGTAATGGTATCGTTCTATTGAAATTACTTGATGTACTTTGTCGGGAAATGTAATGCTATAAATACCCATTACGGAACCTTTCCATACCTGAACGGATAATATACATATAAATGACGCTCAAAAGTATTCGTTCGATATCGTATTCGTAACACACATTTTCGGGAACGGGCTATACAACGCGTCTTCTAAGCACGCACGCACCGCGTACTAAACAGATCCGGTCGCGTAATCACTCCTTCTCACGTACACGTGATTAACTGTAAAAAAAAAGACACGAGGCTGCACGCGAGGTAGCACGTCATGCATGTCCTAACTCCCGGATTTTTCCCGGTGTTCTGCTTCACAGTGAGGATTACTACGGTGACCTGGATCTAAAGAGCATCAGGAAGAGCGAGCTGCTTGCCGGAATTCAAAATTCAGGCGAGACCAGGAAGCCTCCTCAAGGCAAACCAAGGCCCCCATCGGCACCTGCGAGGCCCAACGCACCCCTTCAAGAATAATTTCTAATCTATCTCCCCTCTCTTGATTCCCCCATCTGGTTCCTCTCATCTTCTTTCCTCTCCTCTCCTCTCCTCCTTTCTTCACCTCTTTCACGTTTCACCATTCTTCAAATACCCTTACCAGAACTCTCCTTCGCCTACTTTTCTATTACACCACACATATGCAGAAACAATGATACACGCGTATACAGACATAAACACACCTAGCCGAGCAGAACAATCTCGAACGAACGATCCTGATGTTCGATATTTCGAAATATATATAATAGCGCCAGGAGCCAAAAGTGTTAATCGGTTACGTTCGTTTCTTGCGTTCCCATTCGAGCCAAATTTTTCTACATACGTACGACCGACCTCTGTATATCCGGTTATAGCTTCGTATTCGATGATTTGACTCGGATCCCGGAGGAATTGCACGATTAGAAATCCGTGAGATGTTTCTTCCGAGGACTGAGGAGTAGCGAGGAGAGTAAATGTCAAATTCCTGCACTCGCGTTGACGTTCATCCGTGTGCCTCGATGCCGACGCGATGGCAACGCGCGATTAGCTAGTAATTCTCCACGCGTTGCTTTTAAGAAACGTTCAACCGAACAATATTATTGCCAATATCATTGTTGATATTTAAGGTTCTCAACATTGTATTCACAGTATATATTGATCGTCTAGAGGATCTCTTCCGCACGATAACGTCAAGAACCTCAAATATTGACAATAATATTGACGATATACTGATCGTCTGAATGCTCCTTTACAGTTCTTGTTCTCGGTCGCGTAATTATTTAAACAAGGAATTGCATCGGGTAAAATGGTGGAAATGATTAAAGGACTGATCTTACCTCCATCAACGCGTGGAAAAGTCTATCTATCCTCGATGTTTGCCCATCTTCGTTCCGCATCAGGCACTTCGATGATCAAAATTGAGACGCGTATTCTATATATTGAAATTCGAATTGATAATAATTCGAGTGACAATCGTATCGTCTCATCGATAACTTCTATCATTCTTTCTTGCCTCTTATCATCATTTAGCCACTTTGTTTCTCCTTCGTATTTGCTGTTCACACCCCCTTCGCTATCGTAAGACATACGATTTAAAACGGAAACGGCGGCAAGCTCGTTAATCACGATCTGTGTATCGTCTAAATCGCAACATGTTCACTGAATCTGGTTCTGAGAAACGGAAATTCGATGAAAAAGTTCAGTGGATGAGGAGTTCTTTTTTCGAAATTTTCTCAATTCGAACTTACCTCCACACACTCTTGGCCTCGGTCAAGTATGCTTGCGTAAGCTAGACTCGTCCGTATATTTTTAAGTAATGTGAAAAATTCGTAAAATAAAAGGAACAAAAATTCGTAAAAAAAAAGTGGTTTATGTGCTTCTCAAAACCCTAATCTCTCATCCTATCACGTAAACGTTCTTCGTGTTTGCTTGTTTTTTTGGAAATTTATTGTTGTAATTCTAACTCTTGCATGTTTGTTAAAACTATAACAAATTTCATATGGTGAATTTTGTGAATGTATTAAACACTACAAACACTTTATCGTAATTACCTAATGCACTAAATATATTTATGATGCATCTATGGAAAGATATAATTCATTGATATATAATCGAAGATGTGAAATTCAATATTCTGCAACAAATCATATTGTAAGTCACTTAACGTATTAATTTCTCCCTTTTTTATAATTTTTTTTCTCTATTAAACCATATAAAGGGTATTTTTATAACTTCAAGTATGCATTTAAGTATACTTATAAATAATAAATTTCATAGCGAAGACTACTATGGCGATGTGGATCTGAAGGCATTGCGGAAATTGGGATACAAGAAAAAGTGACAGGACGACAAACGCGCAAAATCCAAATAATTTTAATCAACATTTAGAACTAATCAGAAGATTTTGGAATTCGTAGAAATCGATTAATTTCCTGTATCTTCTGGTCAATTAAAATAATGAAGAATCGCATGACATGTATTTCGCTTAAAATCATTCGCATCATCATTTATGTATATCTGTTGATGTTACAATACATAACTGTAATATACGTTGCTATGTAAATAAATTACTATTATTAAAAAATATTTTGTATGTTACATTATCATATATGTAATTTTATATAAAGTGCGAGAAGCAAAACACAAATATTTCACATCGTTCGGTGTCTGTCATTGCATCAACAAATTTTTTACAGCAAAGATATATTAAAAAATTTACTAAACACATAAACATATAAATATATACTAAAAGGTCAGCCGTATGTTTACAAATTATACCGTGCAGTTTTAATCTGGTTGGATTATAACTGATGTCGAGATGAATTCATCGCCCTATAAGTATAGTACATTATAATCTTGAAGTGATCTTGAACTTAAAAATTTAAGTTCGATTCTATCATACCAATAAATTTCAACATTGAAATAATATTGTAACGCCTCGTGCGAGAAAATGCGAGAAAATTGTAAAATATTATTTATGAAATGAAATTTACAAAGTATTCATAAAGTACTAATAAAATATTTACATTAAATTATCTAATTTTATGTTTAATCTTACCTTATCTTCATTTTATATCTTGTCTTATAAGCTATAACGTATGTTTCCGTTGAAATAAAGTATTTATACGTAGGTATATATTTACATACGTTACTAGTCTATGTTGATCTTAAGTGTTATTTAAATTATGTAGTTATATATTATAGAACATATAATAAATTATATCTATACGTGGTTATTTTGAAATATTAATTAAGTACGTCAAACTGTGAAGTAAAAATAGTGTTAACAATGTATAAATATTATAGTGTAGTATTTTTATAGCATTTATGAAACGAAATAATATAATTTCTTTTGTCAATTTTGTTAACTAGATAAAATATTGCACTCATTTTCATGCTGTAAAAAGGTGAGGATTAATTGCATCTGTCAAAAATAAGAGATCAGCCAAAACAATTACATACGAAAATCTTAACCTCAAACCTTCGAAAAAAAATCAATTCTTTTTAAAAGATTAAGTATTACATATTTATAATTCTAATTTTGTTATACGCACACGTACACATTCCTACTTTATATTTTAAATTTATCTAAAAGCAATTATATAAAATTATATGAATAAGCCTAAATCAATGACTTGATTTAATAATGGAAGCAAAGGCATATGATTTAGAAAAACAGCAGGTATTACTTACAAATAACGATCATGTAAATAATTTATTTAATAAACATTTTTCTATTGTAAACAATGAATGCTATACACTGCCTGAACCAACAACAATGTTTAAAGATTGCCCATGGACAATCGATGAATTACAAGAGATAAAAAATGAATTGAATGCTACAAAGAATTGTTTAAATAATTATGATATTGATCAATGGCAATTACATACAAGAGAAAGAAACAGTGCACAAAAGGTTATCATGCAATTGAGAACCCATATTCAACCAGAACTTTTAACTCAAGCATGGTGTAAATTCTATGAAATAGTATCGTCATTTCCTTTAATACCAGTGGATTACATTCGTGCAAATGATACGTACTTTAGATCTATCCATTTATGCGAAGCACCTGGAGCTTTTATTACATCTTTAAATCATTGGTTAAAAACAAATGTTCCTGATATTAAATGGGACTGGCTTGCTATGACCTTAAATCCATATTACGAGGGTAATTCAGCATCTATAATGATTGATGATGATAGATTCATAAGACATACATTAGATCATTGGTTTTTTGGAGAAGATAATACTGGAAATCTTTTGAATTTAAAGAACTTAAATAAACTTGTAGAATTATCAGAATCACATTGTAATATATTCTTAATTACTGCTGACGGTAGTGTGGACTGTACAGATGTTCCAGCAGAACAAGAAAATGTTCTATTACATTTGCATTTTTGTGAAACTGTAGCTGCCTTACAATTATTATCTACTGGAGGCAGTTTTTTATTAAAAATTTTTACTATTTTCGAGTGTAATACAGTTTGCCTGATTTACCTATTATCTTGTTGTTTTACTAATGTCAGTATAACAAAGCCAGCAACGAGCAAAGAAGGAAATTCAGAAATGTATGTTGTATGTACAAACTTTAAGGGACCAACATTTATCTCACCTTATTTAGAAAAACTCAGAGAACATTACGAATATGGTCCTAAACAAGCAATTTTTAATAAATGTGATATTCCATGTACATTTATGGAAAGAATTATACTATGCAGTGAATTTTTTAAATTTCGACAATGCCTAGTCATAGCAAATAATATTATTTCATTTAACTCTGATAATTCTGAAATGTTACAAAACATAAAACAAATTCAATGTATGGTTGCTGACAGATATATAAAAATGTATAACATAAAAAAATTAGAAATAGGGCAAATCATAGGAAATGCTATTATATCGTCTAATTATATCAGCACCAATCAACATAAAAAATCATTACAAGGGTCATACAATGAACGTTGTGAAAAACAACATTTGGCACCTATAGGTCGAATAGAAAGTTTTTGCAATGATTTTAATAAAATTGAGATCCATGTATCATCTGATGAAATCATAAATGTAAGCTGCTTTTTATCATTTCTTAGTACATTATACTTTCTGAATATAAATTTTTTTCATAATATAAAACTCTTATTTCTTATAGTACAACTTTACTGAGTTCCCAGAGAAATTACAAATTCGTTCTGGAAAAGTATTTCATAAAATAGGTAGTTCTAAATTTTGTAACAGAATTGCTTTAAAAATAAAAAATGGTGTTGATGATATTCTTATTAAAATGAATTTCAAGATACAATTTCCTTCTCTAGAAAGTATAGAAAAAGTAAAAAATGAAATGCTTTGTGAACCAAGACATGAAGTATTAATTTTTCAATATACGGATATTTATGATAGCCACAAAATAATCACAGAAATATACAATACATTACAAAAACTTGACATTGGAGCAACATTAGTTTTATTTGGCTATTCATTGCTTACTCATCTTAGTATTGAACTGCTTTATCTTATAAGTTATGCTTTCAAATCATTGAAAGTTACAGTTTGTGACGATATAGGATTGAAAATCACACTATATCATTATAATTATAATCTTAAAGTATTACAATTCTTAAGTGAAATTAATGCTGCTTCTCTTGAAGCTCAAAAACAAGAGAAAGCTATCTTGGAAATAATTTCTTCATCAGCATTCTATGAAGGTAAAACAAACTATATTAATGTATCCCAACTATAGTCTTACAATATTATATTTCATATTATTTGCATTTCTAGGATGTAATTTGTGCTTCTCAGCAGAGCACCTTAATCATTGGATACTAAAAACATATTTTAATTACATATTACATACATTAAAAAAAGATACAAATTGAAACAGCATTTCATAAAGTCAACATATTCCACAAAATACCAAAGTTGTATCAAATTTTTTATGTAATAAAATATGAACATATATCTGCTTATAGTGTATGCTTCCTTTCCATAGCCATAATATAAGATTTGAAAATTAATTTGATATTACATAGTGATGAACCTATATAAATATGAAGTGTGAATATAACAAATTTATAATTATGTATAAATTTTAATTTTAATTTCTAAATATATTATTTAAAACAACAATCAGATTCAAAATGAAAATCCGTGGTTGCCTCTTTTTAAAAAAATGTTATATAGTAATATATTTATTAAACATAGTTTTATTTTTTACGATACAACTTTTTAGATCAGTACAAGTGTTTACTATGAAATTTGGTGAAATCTACAATTATGTTCGTTTATTTTCAACTCAACATATTGTACCAAAAGTGTGTATTATTGGTGCAGGGCCAGCAGGATTTTATGCTGCACAACAGTTATTAAAGGTATGTATAACATTCAATATATTAGAATAATATTGTAATGATATAATGTTGATACAGACAAACGCTAATGTAAGAGTGGATATATTAGAGAAGTTACCAGTACCATATGGTCTAGTACGTTTTGGTGTAGCACCAGATCATCCAGAAGTGAAGAATGTTATTCATACTTTTGAGAAAACTGCATCTAACCCACGTTTTCAATTTATAGGAAATGTCAATGTAGGAAAAGATGTTACTATAAAGGAATTGCAAGAAATTTATCATGCAGTTTTATTAGTATGTATAATAAAAATGCAATTATCCTTATTTAACTTAATAGTAATATTAACAATTACTTGCTTATATTTTAGACATATGGTGCAGAAGAGGATAAACGATTGAATATACCTGGGGAAAATTTAAATAATATAGTATCGGGACGACGATTTGTTGGTTGGTATAATGGAGTACCAGCAGATAGTAATTTAAATATTAATTTAAATGTAGAAGAAGCTGTTGTGTTGGGACAAGGTAATGTTGCTATAGATATTGCAAGAATTTTGCTAACATCAGTAGATAAATTAAAGGTATGTTTTAAGTTTTTCATAAAATGTATTTTATAATATATTTTTAATTTATTTATAAGTCTGCCTTTTTAGAATACTGATATAACATCATTTGCATTGGAAAAATTATCACAAAGTAAAATACGTAAAGTATCATTAATAGGAAGAAGAGGTCCATTACAAGCAGCATTTACAATTGCAGAACTCAGGGAAATATTAAAATTAGATGGCTGTAGGAGTTATTGGCGTGCAGATGATTTTATAAATGTAAAACAAGTAATTAACACTTTAGCAAGACCACGGAAAAGATTAACTGAACTCATGGTAGAATATTTAGAAAAAACATCCTTAAATACAGGAACAATGGCAAAAGAATTATATCCAATATTTTTAAGAAGTCCCATAGAATTTTTAGGTTCGGATAGTATACATAGTATTAAACTATCAATAAATAAACTTGAAGGTAATGACATACGAGCACAATTTGCTGTACCTACTGGATTATTCGAAGAAATTGAATGTGGTATAGCATTTCGTAGCATTGGTTATAAGTCTATTCAAATAGATGCATCAATACCATTTGACACAGAAATTGGTCGTATTAAAAATATAGCAGGTAAAGTTCAAGATAAACTTTATACTGCAGGTTGGGCTGGAACAGGTCCTGTAGGAGTTATATTATCAACAATGACAAATGCATTTCAAATTGGTATGTTAATGAATAAAGAATTATCAATTACAGAAAATAAACCAGGTTTCATAGGTTTATCTAAAATACTGGAGCAAAAAGGAATACCCATAGTTTTATATAATGATTGGAAAAAAATTGATAAAGTAGAATGTGAAAGAGGAAAAACATTAGGGAAGCCAAGGGAAAAGATAGTTGATATAAATGAAATGTTAGAGATTGCCTTAAGATAATAAATGTAACAAATGTATGACAATTGTTTACAAAGAAAAAAACTTCTTTTAGTTTTTAATAATTTTCAATATGCTTACTTATTAATTTTATTCCATTTTTTGAATTTCAATTTTACTTTAATAAAAAAGCTTTAGATTAAAGATTTTGTACCTATAAATATAATCATATAGTATTATTTTAATTGTAAGCAATTCATTATAATAACTTAATTATTTATACTATAAATATATTTTTACAAACATATTTCAAATAAATAAATTTTTGATGTTTTAAATATTTTATTTAGTTATATAATATAAATGTAAACCACATGCATTATTTAATATAAATCAAAATTATGTTGGTTACATACAAGCTGAATTTAATCACTTAAATATTTGATTTATTTATTATTAAATGTAAAATCCCCTGAGGATAAAGTTACAATATTTCCAGAGCCACATGCAACAATAGAAATTAGTATTTTTCATGATCATTTCTTTCATGAAATTTCAGTCTCCATAATTTTCTTAAATAAATATTTATTTGCGATATATTAATAAGTATACCATTCCCCTCATTTAATCTGGAAATATTTGCGTCTGAAATATACATATATAATGTTTAATCATGCTTAATCAACAGGTGATAAAATTAAACAATATAAATTTTTCTGTTCCTAGGCAAAATTGTTTAACTTCTGAGAGCTCAAATGAAAGTTTATTAACAGAAATGAATACGAAGACCGCTGATAAACATTGGAGAAATTCAGTCAAATTTTATACGCTCCACAAATTACCGCTTCTGGCGGTTAAAATGCCGAACTATACGCACATTTCTTCCATTGTTTTGAAAGAAAAAGCAAAATATACATTCGTTCATAGTGTTGGTACCGGAGCATAGAGCATAGAGCATAGAGTGTATAGAGGTATCCGAAAGCAGACAGTATGGGATTGGATAGTATAATAGAACGAATAACTAACAAGATTTTTAAATTACTTTAAAGTATTCTGATTTATTGAAACTCTAGCGGTGAAATGATGGAACTAATCTCTTTATAATGAAATTAAAAAATATAATCACGGTTTACAATGCGAATTCTGAGCCGCTCAGGATCTAATTAAAGCTTTAACTCTGAGAAATATTCTTTGTATAACATTATTCTCCTTTCTTACATACTTAATTAATTATATGTAATGAAGGCAAAGCGTCCTATTTCGTGCATAGTGATGCCATCTACGTCAAGATAAGTCAATGGCACTAACAGCAAGCAAAAATTTTAACTGATAAAAGTGATAGATGGCATCACAATGCCCTTCCTGTTTTTTATTTAAAATTTTATAAACAGTAATTTTAAAAAATATATATTTATTTTATACTAGATTCAACACAAAAAACACATTAATTATCCTGTGTCGTGTCTTTTTTTGCAAAAGAGGAATAAAAACTATTGCTTCAAATTCGAAAATTCTGTACTGGAAGACACTTTGTTACGTTGATGACAAGTTTAAAAACTTCGTATTAAGTAATAAGTTACGATATTAATAAAAAATTATTAATACAAAGCAAAATCTGTGTTGCCGTAATACATATCTATGCATAGAGTTCTAAATGGGGAATAGATTAACCTATACTATAAAAATAATAAATTTAAGAAAACTCGCAATATAAAATGTTTGATTATTGTTATGTAGTTTAGTATTATCAAATATAATCACAAAATGAATTTACGAGAACCAAAGAAAAAACGACGTGTGAAATTAACAGAACAATTACCACTTCCTATTGTGATAGGTAATCAGGATGAATGGACTACATATACTGCTCATCTCACCGATTTAGGATCTTGTATAATTGATCCAAATGAAATTGTTGCAATACATTCTATGGTAATCATCATCTACAAATAAATATCTATACATGTAACCATATAAATTTCCATTTCCTATATTTAATATTATTATCCATATAGGGCTTTTTTGGAAAAGGTTCTTTGTCACGTGGCTTTCCTTCATTTGGCAAAACACAATATGGAGCTCCTCCAATTATAAGAAACAGACAATGGCTTCGTAGACAGGAATGGTTAAAACAATTTAATGAACTTAGCATGGAACCTAATAGCACACAAACAAATCCAGAAGAAAACAAGTGTGAAATTATTATTATGAACAGTTATTCTACAAGTCCTAATGACGATGATGTTGAATTATTGTCAATGAAAATCAGTCCAAAACAAAATACTCCAGATATAATTGAAATAGATACAAACTCTGCTCATTTAGATGAAAAACACAAAAAAAATCAACAAACTGATGAAGAGTTAGAAGTAGATGGTACAATTTCAAATTCCACAAAAGAGGATGATGCATTGATTATTATAGAAAACAAATCTAACAAACAGTGTAACAATATTGATAATAATCAAAGAGGATCCATTGAAAATGAAGAGAAGTCTCCTTCAAGTTTTAGTTTAAAAGAAAATGATATATGTTTTACTGAAAATAATTTAGATGTTCAAAACAAATTACTTGTCTTACCAGATAGTGACTCAGAAACTGAAAATTATTTACAAAAAATTAAACCTAAAATTGAATGTGAAAGTTTTCCTATTCAAGAAACTCTTCATCTTACATTTGAAGAAACATTTTTTCTTTTGTATGGTTTAGGTTGTTTAAATTTAATAGACTTTGATGGTAATTTATTAGATATTGATAGTGCATGGCATATTTTCTGCAAAACTGATAAAAATTTTATATCAAAGTATGTTGTATATCATTACTTTCGAAGCAAAGGGTGGGTAGTAAAACCTGGACTTAAATATGGTGGAGATTTTTGTAAGTACTGTACTCTTTTTATTATTAGTTATAAATTTTGAATAATTCGTCAAATAGATCTTATGACATGAGTATTTTTTAATATTTTAGTATTATATAAACAAGGACCACCATTTTATCATGCATCTTACATTGTAATAATAGACACTTTGGATAGTGATACCTTAATCACAGATCAAGATAAACGTATGCATAAATTAACATGGAATAGTTTATTAGGACTGGAAAGATTATCAGAAACTACTGCAAAGGTAATTCAGTAACAATATTTTATATATGTTTATTTTAATATCATTGTAAATTTAACACATTTTATATTCTATATTCTATTTTTAATATAGGAAATATTATTTGCACAAGTTTTGTGGCCATCTTCAGCTTTGCAAACATCTGATTCATTAAATGTGGATCTGCTTTCTGAATTTTCTGTGAGAGAATTATTGTGGCGAAGATGGAATCCTAAACATAAAGATATAGAAGAGGAAGATGATGATTCATATTGATTTGATATTTAACATGTTTATTATTGTTGTAAATGTATACATGTATAAATCTAGAACCATTGTTTTTCTATATATTTATGCTTAATTGTTATTTCTTTTTAAGCAAAACAATTCATATTTTGATCAAATAAAGATAATAATGCTACTATATATATATATATATATATATATATATATATATATATATATATATATATATATATATATATATATATATATATATATATATATATATATATATATATATATATATATATATATATATATATATATATATATATATATATATATATATATATATATATATATATATATATATATATATATATATATATATATATATATATATATATATATATATATATATATATATATATATATATATATATATATATATATATATATATATATATATATATATATATATATATATATATATATATATATATATATATATATATATATATATATATATATATATATATATATATATATATATATATATATATATATATATATATATATATATATATATATATATATATATATATATATATATATATATATATATATATATATATATATATATATATATATATATATATATATATATATATATATATATATATATATATATATATATATATATATATATATATATATATATATATATATGTACATTGCTTGGAACTCATATTATGTTTAACTTATGTTGATGATTGGTATCTGCTGCTTTTTAATCTTTTAGCAATACCAGTTCTCCGGTATTCACTTCTTTCATCTAAATATTCTTGTGTACATTCTGCTTTAAAATCTGGATCATTATACCATTGTGATAAACAGTCTTTTAATGCAGCATTTTCCTTTTGACACTGGAAAGTCATAAGAACACTAGCATTTTTACAGCATTCTGAAAACCCTACAATTTAAATATAGGAACAATAGTACATGTCGAAAAATACATATAATAATTAACAAAAAAAATTAATTATTACGTTCAACTTCCGCAACACATTTTTCGGTTTTTGCTTTATCTCGCATTCTTTGTGGTATAAGAACGTCTTTTTCTACCTTTCTTAAATGTTTATCATCAGGATCTCCTGAAAAACATGTTTGTATTAAATGCATCGATATGCACCTGAAATGAATATAATAATTCAGAAAATATATTCATTTTTATCAAATTTTTATTTTAATAGGAGTATAAAAAACTAAACGTATAACCTTATCTGTTTATACGTGGAATTAAAAGTTATATATATTTATTTTTATACTAATCACTACTAATTTTAGCAATTTAAAATTTACCTAAATTAAGCGGCCCTCCTCCATATTTAGCACGAGGTGCGGTTTGAACGTCAGTCATTATTGTTGAATTCAAAATATTACCATTAACATCTATGAACAATACTACATAAGTATAAATGCTAGTTCCTCCAGCAGACTGCGCTCATGAGTGTGCAGATTTGAGAGTTGTCAATGCATTGGTTCATAAAAGGAATGTTTGCTTAATACTACGGATGATTTATAAATCGTACTATTTTTAATCAAAAATATAATATAATAAGTAAGTAAATAAACGTAATATTGTATAACCTAAATAAATGTAATTCTTCTTGGATATATTGTTAACAAAAGTTAACCTCATTAATAATTGGTTTGTGTTAGATTTTATAGCCAATTTAATGATTAGAATCTTATATATTTCGAATTCCAAATTAATTATTATACAATGTTTTTAGAGTTGTTCGAAAAATACAAAATAGATAGTCATGGATCGATTATTGAGACTAGGAGGTGCTATGCCAGGTCTTAGCCAAGGACCTCCACCGTCAGATGCTCCAGTTGTTGATACTGCAGAGCAGGTAGAATTTACTCAATCATTAAAATTATTCAATTTTTTACTTTGATTGCTAATTTTATTGACAATTTTTATTTCAATCACGATAAGATATTTTATAATTATGACTTCTTGCTTTTTAAGTTATCTCGACAAGAAATTATAGACCATAAAAATATATCATATCGATACATTTGTTTCAAAAGTTCATGTGTGTAATGCCAGGTTAATAGCATATTTTGTATTTGTTAATGTATCACTTTTGTTATGTTATTATTGTTAGGTGTACATATCGTCATTAGCCCTTTTAAAAATGCTTAAGCATGGACGGGCTGGTGTACCTATGGAAGTAATGGGTTTAATGCTTGGTGAATTTGTTGATGATTACACTGTACGTGTTATTGATGTATTTGCTATGCCTCAAACAGGAACAGTAAGAATCCAAATTTTGTATAATATTTTGTTAAAATACATGTTGAAATTATATTTTTCTAACATTTAATTTAATATTATCATGTTATTTATATTAGGGAGTCAGTGTGGAAGCAGTTGACCCAGTATTTCAAGCAAAAATGTTGGACATGCTGAAACAAACTGGTCGGCCAGAGATGGTAGTAGGATGGTATCATTCACATCCAGGATTTGGATGCTGGCTCTCTGGTGTAGATATTAACACACAACAATCATTTGAAGCTCTTAGCGAAAGAGCAGTGGCTGTTGTTATTGATCCTATACAGTCAGTGAAAGGAAAAGTTGTTATCGATGCATTTAGATTAATTACTCCTAACACTATGGTAATTAACAAATTAAAAATGGAAATTTTAATTTTAATTAAATTCATGTATATTCGCTGATATTATATGCAAAATTGCAGGTTTTAGGACAAGAACCCCGTCAAACTACATCTAATTTAGGTCATTTACAAAAGCCATCAGTTCAAGCATTGATTCATGGCTTAAATCGCCATTATTATAGCATTAGCATTAACTATCGTAAAAATGAACTAGAACAGAAAATGCTATTAAATTTACATAAGAAAACATGGATGGATGGTCTTACACTTGCTGAATATTCAGAACACAGCAAACTTAATGAAAATATTGTATCTGAAATGCTTGAACTTGCTAAAAATTATAACAAGGTATCGTGTTAATATATAATATTGCACATTTTTTAAGTCTGAAATTAAAATCTCACATCAAATATACTAACTTGAGAATTTATTCTTGTAGGCATTAGAAGATGAAGAAAAAATGACACCTGAACAACTAGCTATAAAAAATGTGGGTAAACAAGATCCAAAACGACATTTAGAGGAAAAAGTGGATACACTTATGTCTACGAACATTGTTCAGTGCCTGGGAGCTATGCTTGATTCAGTTGTATTCAAATAACTATTTCTTAAAATACCATTTGCAATATTATAAAAAAATATACATCTTTTTAAAATATACGTGTTTATAATTTACACTCAAGGGATATACATAATACATACAAATTTTTATACTGCTTATTTTTGTATTAAAAAATGCTAACAATAGACAAGTAGATTTTTACACTATTATTCAAAATGTATGACAGCCACTCGGATATTACATATAATCTATTGCTTTTTGATAAAGTATGATAAAATATGTTATATATAAACATCTGAATAGGACCGAAATAATAAACGAAAATGCACTTCATAATAAAAAATGTAAATATTGCGCATTAGTGCACGATATGAAATGTATAACGTAAAAAATGCTATTATAGTAGATAAATCATAATGGATCTTTTTATACTTGCAAAATATATCTCGATACTTTGCAAATGTAATTCACTTATTCTATGTACATTTACTGATACTAAATATCGTATCAATATACATTTTTATTATTTGTAAAATTTATAATACTTGACTAACAATGAAATTCGTTTATTCTTATTAATAATGTAATATTACTGAATTCTTTAATATAATCTAAAAGATTACTAAATGTAACTGACTTGAATCACGATCTGTACAAGTTTAGAGAACATATAAAATATTTTTTCAATTTAATAATAAATTGAATTACATCTATGCATCTGTATATGTATATATATATATATTATATATATTGCAGAAGATGGATATTCTTTTTACAATCTGGACGTTGTAAAATATGTATACATTTTTTGAAAATTATCTTTGTATAAGAAACTTATATTCCTTTTTATGACGTATTATAACGTTTCTCTCGTACTTATAAAAAATTATGGTACTTATATTTTAATAAGGACATATTTAAAAAATTATTTCAACTTGAAACTGTTACTTCTTGATCTTGATCTTTATCTTTCTTCTTTTTCTTCTTCTTTTTTTCTTCCTTTGCTGGCGATTCCTGTTAATAATAATATTAAGTATTTGAATCTTTTTTAGATTTTAAATATGGAAATTAAATGTAAGTTATTTTACCTCAGTTGCACCTTCTGTAACCATGGGTTCATCAGCTTCTGATTCTACTTTTTCCTTTTTTCTTTTCTTTTTCTTTTCCTTTTTATCTTTCTTTTTTTCTTTTGGTGATGTCAATTCTAAATCTTCAACCTTCTCTTCTTTTATAGTAACTTCGTCTGTAGGTTCTGAAACTGTTTCTTCCCATTTTCGTTTTTTAGATGCAGGATCGGTATCTCCATTTGCCTCAGTCTAAATCCATGAGATATTAAATGTACAACTTTTATACCAGGTATATTTACATAAAAAAATGCGAAAAGAAAATGATAATTACTTTAATTGTAGGTGTAGAGTAATCTGGATAATTTGCTAACCAGTCTGCAGGTGTGTTTTCATTCGGTTTTCCATATTTATCTAATTTTCCCTCGATTATCATACGTTTTTTTATGGAAGCTTTTGGTCCCAAACCCCATTTTCTTGGATATGCATCTCTTTCCATGATTACTCTTTTAATTTTAGCAGCTACACCATGATCACAAGCTGTCATTGTAGGAGATGTCATTAAAGCTATAGCTGTAATTAAAAAAATGCAAAAATGATAATTTTGAAACGTTTATTTATAAGTAAAGATATCAACACATCACACATCAACATATCAACACATAAATTACTGTAATAAATAACGTACTGTCCATGTTAGTTTGATACATTACTTACCAAGTGCTATAGCTTCACCTTTTGTAGTCACTATTACAATTTCTTGATTTAGTTCTATGCCATCGTCATACATTAAAATACCAGGTAACATAATTTTAGCTCCATAACAAATAGCATTTACCTATTAATATAATTATGTAGTATTATAAAAAAATCACATATAAAGGTAGTCTTTACATATAGATAAGAAATACATACTGCGCTATCTTTTACAATAATTCTTTTATGATTTACTAGAAGAGCTTCTAGTGGCTTAATTACTCTTCTCAAATAAGACTCATCTCCATGATTTTCATATAACCATTGAGCATCAAGTATATCATGCATAGTAACCATTCCATCATTTTCAGATTGAACACCTGAACGATTTCTACGTAATTCTTGCATTTGACAACCAGTGCCTAAGAAGAGGCCAAGGTGAACACAAATAGTTCTAATATATGAACCAGCCTCACAACTAACTCTGAACACTCCCATATTACGTTCTTCATCATAGTCAATAAACCAACTGTCATAAACTGTTCTGACACGAAGCTGACGCTTCACTGCAGATATAAGTGGAGGTCGTTGAAATAGTGCACCACGTAATTTTTCTAATGCTTGACTTACCTATATAATTCTTTTATTAATAACAATGTTTTGTATTTAAAATATTTTAAATTTAACATATATTTACCTTCTGAAGACTCTCTGGAGCAGAATGTAATTTAAAAACTGCAATATATTCTTTTCCAGCAGATTGCTGTGATTTAGCTAATCTAGTTGCTCTATCAATACATACTATTAAGCAGCCAGATACTTTTGGATCTAGAGTACCAGAGTGACCAGTTTTTTCTACTTTTAAAATTCTTTTTATCCATGCAACAACTTCATGTGATGATGGATTACATGGTTTGTCAAGATTAATACACCCAGATTTTATATATTCAGATAAAGTACGATGTAATGGTGTTGAGCCACTAGTTAAGGGTGTAAAATGTTTTGTACGAGTAAGCATTTTATCAAAATTCTGAAATAGTAACATTTATGTTGAATCGGCTGTGTTAGAAATTACTTTAGAAATCATAAAATGAATTAAATTTTATGTTACACACTTTAAATAAAAGAGGCCAATCTTTATATTCCAGTTTTACAATCTCATTTGAAGGTTCAAGTTGACATTTCATTGTTGCTTGAATCTCTCCAAGAGACTTCTTTTTGCTTTTCTTCTTGTTTTTATCTAAATAACAAAAATAAGTGTTATAACCTATGAAATTACCACTATTGCACTAATAGACATTACGTTGAGATATAACTATACATCAATAGAAAATTAATTTTGACATAAAATAAATGTATGGAATATGCATTTAGAATAATATCTTCAATCAAACAGTTATTAAATACTAAAACACGTGTTTGCCGCTAAATTTCCAATTGATATTTATAACAGAAGGTAAATATCTTTACTTATTTTTATATATATGATAAGGATACTGACTCAAATTAAGAGGTAGATTATAATAAATATAACACTAAATAGCATAATATACGAATAAAATTAAAAATAATTACCGCTTTCTGCCATTTTGATATATCTAAGTGAAAACAGCACGTGTATTCCAACGAACTAAAGCGACCCCAAACACACAGGAGCAAATGTGTCCGCAATATTGCTTCATGGGTTATGTATACTTTAGATATGCTACGTTATGTACTATTTGAATAACATAAAGACATTTTTAAACCCATTGTAATATTAAGTGTTGCATATCAGTGAAAATAAATTATATAAATAAATTCTATAAAAATATAATATATAATGATAAGGGATGATATACAATAGAATTTTTAATTCTAAAAGATTTTAATTCTAAAAGATGCTTGGCTGACGCTCATCTTTGGCATTCTCTGTATACCAATCATATTTAAATTCGACTATTCTCCGATATTAGCAAATATATCAACAGATTGTATCTTATGATTTTGTAAATCAATTGGAATACTTAAATAAAATTAGACAATGAAACTGTTGACGACTTGTATTCTGTATTCTGTATCTATGATTGTCTTGTATTCTATATCGTAACACGACACTGTTAGCTACTGTTATGTTTAGTTTTCGCGGTAAGCTAGAGATGGGTGAAACAGAATAAAAAGAGCAGTGAATATAAAAAATATTCCCATGCCGAAGATCACTGCATCATGTTTGTGGAAAACTTAGAAAGAGGATTTTACCGTTTAATAAAACATGATGTGAGTTATTTTTCGAACCCTTCGATTATAAAATTTGTCATGTTTACATAGGTTACAACTTTTCTTAAAATTATAAGTATATTTTTAAATTACTGTACAATTTATTTAAGTTAATTTTGAAATTATTATTATGTTTTTTCTTTAATTTTTATTCACTTGTTGAATGACAAAGTGATTATATATGTATTATAAATAAATATACATTATATATTATTATCATAATTATATATACATTAGATTATTTGTTATGAAATAAGATACTAACATTAATTCTTTATTGTAGAGGTGTTTACTGTTGGTTAACTTTGATGTTGATGCCATTTGTGCCTGTAGAATTTTACAACAACTTTTTAAATATGATAACATGATATATACCCTTGTACCTATTCAAGGTATTCAGGATATGGTTCGTGCCTTTGAAGAGAATTGTGAGGAGGTAATAAAAATTTAAAAAACATATGTACATATCATATTTTTGTGCCAAATCTTATTAATATTTATTTTTTACTTAGGTAAAGAATGTTATTTTTATAAATTGTGGGGGTACATTAGACTTAGTAGAACTGTTACAACCTACAGAATCTGTGATATTTTATATCGTTGATAGCCATAGGCCTTACGATTTATGTAATGTATATTCAGAAGATCAAGTACGTATACTTGGTAAACCAGATGAAGATGATGAAATTCCAGAATATAATGATGTCTTTAGAGATGATTCTGTAAGCAATTTGTTTCAATTTTATATGACCAGCTAATTTAACAATAAAAAAATTGGAGAAATTTTCCTTTGTAAATTTAGTCTGATGAAAATGAAACAGACGAAGAATCAGAAAATAATGGATCTCAGACAAAAAGGCGAAGGTTAAATGAAGAAGATATTATTAGAAGAACCAAACGAAGAGAATGGACTGAGAAAAGAGCAACTATTTTGTTCAATTATACACAGTACAGTTACTATAGCAAATCAGTATGAGTTATCAAAAAAATATATAAATATCATTATTATAATATGGAATATAAGAATTTAAATATATTTTGTGTTTCTGTAGAGTGCAATGCTTATATTTGAAATGGCATGGAATATGACAAAAGATAATTTGGATATGGTTTGGTGGGCTATAATTGGTTCTACAGAACAAGCTATTCTTGGTAAAGTAGAATCAAGGTTAAGCGTTCTTGAAGAAGGTTCCCTTCAAGCCCATGTATCTAGATTAACTCATAAAGGAGCTGAAGTTGATAAGCAAGAACAGCGACAAAGTACAGTTAAAATTACTTATGACAAAGAGTATCCTTTTAACTCAATTTTATGAAGTTTATGTATGATAAAATACAAACTTTATTTTCTTACATAGAAATGTAGTCTCCTACTTGTGTTATATCGCCATTGGACTGTAGAAGCTAGTTTAAGACACTCAGTACCAACTGCAGTTTCGTTACGACTTTGGTCTCTTCGAGGAGAACAACGATTGAAGGGATTATTGGCAGACATGGGTTTGCCACTAGCGCAATCAAAGCAACGATTTTCAGCAATGGATCTTGCTCTTAGGCAAGAATTTAAACAAATGGTAGAAAAATTAGCAGGAAAATATAAAGTAGATACTATAATTGGGACAAGTTTTACTCTACAGTATGGTTACAAGTTTAAATATTGTGCTTCAGATATAGTTTATGCTATGCTTGCTGTAATGGAATCTTCTGTAAGTATCTAACACTTATGTTTCTGTTTGTTTAATTTTGTGTATATTTTAATACATCGATTTTTTAAATGTTTCAGTCAAAGACAAAATTACCACAAGGTTGTTTTTTAGATGCATTGGACTGTTTATCCCGTACAAAAAAAGATATTTTAGAAAGTGGTATAGAGAAAGCAAAACTTATGCTTAAAACTATTTTTAAGACTGCACAGAGTATTTTACAATTGAAGGAAATAAAAAACATTGGTTCATTTCTTTACATAATTATTCCAGAGGGAAGTGCTGACAATCTTATATTTGCGCATCCATATCCATTAATAATGTTAGCTCAGTTTACTCTAAAGGCTTATGTAGAATCTTCAAAAAACAGGCGGGCACCGGAATTGCCACTTGTAGCTTCTTCAGTGTATGACGCAGAAGAGAAAATGTGTATAATGATTGGCATACCACCAGTGTGTGAAGATCAACCAAGAAGGTAATTATAAGTAATTAATTGAAATCCATTATGGAAATATTTTAAGTGGATTTAATATTATTGCATGTATAATATTAATATTTATCGTAGTTTATTTGGAAGAGCCTTTGAGCAAGCGGCGAAAAATACAAATTCTTACATAGAAGCAGATTACTTTGACTCTACAAGTAAGGATAACTTATGATATTTTTAGCATTTATTTTTCTACATACATACTAATATTCTATGTTTCAGTAATAAGACTGAAAATCGAAGAAAGACCAAGATTTTTGGATGCTTTAGCATCTCTTCTAGCTTAAAATTTTAGTAATTTATTTAACATATAAAATAGAAATTTTCTCTTCACACATATTTATTTCCTTTTTTTAAATAATACGAAGTAACAATAACGCGTGAAACATTTTTAAAAATACGACAGGATCGATTAAGTACATTTTATTTTTTATGACATATTGTAACTGACAAATGTAAGTTAGTAATATTTTCATTTACGTACGAAATAACTGATAACAAAATTTATTGGATGATAAAGCAAATATTGTATAATGTAAATGATATGTAATAATTATAATTTTTATATAAGAACAAAATTAACTTAAAAAATGTATGAATAAATTTATTCAATTTTTCACATTCATTTATTTTTAATTTATAAAATAATTGTAATCAAGGCATGAGATTAACGATTATTACTTATATGGAGAACAGAGTTAATAACAAGCACTTGCTAGTAACTCAAGATACGTTCGACGTGTTCATTTGGCGTTTATTAAGTAGTACATAATATAATATATTAACGTGTGCATGTGTACACTTAAAAATACAATTCGCTCAGTTTTTATTAACTATGATATTATAATACATGTCTTTTGGTTACTTCCACAAAGGGGTGTGCGAATACAAGCGCCATTTTGCGCGAGATCCTTCCTACGAAAGGAGCAATGGTATCACAGAGACAGGATTGAGAAGAGAGGATGGGGTTTCTTTTTTTTGTGGTTGTATAATGACCACTTAAAATCTTGACTGCTCCTTCCTCCACATGGCTTTCAATATTTTGTATAAAATTGTCAATTGATTTTCAAAAATTCAAGTAGAAACGTAATCATTCTTAGCAGTTTTGTGTACTGCAGCTATTTTGTTTATAGGCAATTTGTCATTGCGAAAACTATCGACAAATTGTTGTACAGAATCTACAGTTATTTCGGCACCATCTTCCATCACCACATAAATTCCTCGAGGTATATCAATTGCTGTTAAGAGAGGTACAGCATCATCTAATCCGACAAATTCACGAAGAATATCTGATGTTTCACACTATAAGGAAAACAATAGTATATCCATTAAATTGAGAGTAATTATTAATAATTAGTTACGGGTAAATACGATTGGTACTTACATCTAATGCTACATAAAATTGCAAAATATCATCTGGATCATCATAATTTGGATCATAGTCAGGTCTACCTTGTCTGTACACCTGTGCAGCTGGCAATAATACACTCTCTGCGAATTGAATCTCACAGTCTTCACCTTCTGTCATAGCATAATAATGACATAAATAAACTACCGGTACTATACATACATAGAAAGATGTTTATTTATTTAACGACCAATATGTTTCTAAAGTTTTGTTCTATCTTTGTGTCGAATCATTTTGTATACAAATATTATAAAGTGAACTTACCGACAAAAAGAATAATTGCCGGTGCATCATGTAACGAAGCGGCGTATTTTTCAGTTAAAATATTCACCAGACGACTGGTCCATGGAAAATTCTGAAAAATTGAAAACTTTATATCAAAAACAGCAAAAAAACGACGAAGTAATACAAATCGATTCAATAAATTTTTATTTACCAATCCTTCAGGATCCTCGATTAATTCCGCCCGACCATCCAAAGTTATAATGTTATCTCGAGGGTCAAGTATTACTAAAGTGGGTATTGCTTGTACGTCGAGAGCACTTGCTAATTTTCGTCGTCTCTCTTCTTGACTAAAAGGTATCCTCAACCAAGGCATCGTTTCAATGTAAACGTTGTAAGACTCTTCGCTCCTAACATCATAGAAATTGTATTTCAATTAATGACTATACCGTAATTACTTACTATGTAAGTATATATTTTACGTTTTATCCGAAATGAATAAGTGACATCATTTTTTCAACTTACCTATCTGAACTTACAAAGATCACCTCGAAATCGTGACCTCTTTCTCGAATTCGCTGATAGGTGTCCACAAGTTGTGGAGTAAATGCTTTGCAAGGTGGACACTGTATAAACGCAGAAAATGTATATC